CACTGCCACGGACTGAGCTGTGCTGGAGAGCGGTGGGCACCGTGGAGGAGGAGAGGGGGAAAACAGAGAGGGGAAAGAGGAGAGAAGGGAGTAAAGGAAACCACTGAAATGAGATAGTTCCTTTGTTTTCAAAGGACCTCCTACAGATCGGGAGATCTTTGCTAAGAGTATTTCAGCAGTTACAAGGACATATATATATATATATATATACGGACAAATGGTTGACTGGATATGATATGACATTTTAATGTTCCTATAAGCTTGTTATTTTTTAAGTTTAGCGTTGTTAACATAAAAAATGACGGAAAGGATGTATATATATCGAAATGTCAAATTAATTTTATAAAAGCAGTTGTTAGTAATATCACAACAGTGTTTTTAAAAGGGTAGGCTTTAAAATAAAGCATGTTACACAGAAGCGATTAGGAGTTTTTCGCTTGCGAGCAAGGGAATGTATATACTAAATGCGACACTGTATGTTTCTAACATATAATTATTAAAAAAAAAAATTGTGTGAATATCGGTTTTAGAATAGTACCTCTGGTGGATGCAAAGATGTTTCTGATATTGCAATGTAAAACATGCCCCGTGTATAACATTTCGTACAATATTCTCGTTTTACTTTTCAGCCGACATGAAAAATAATGTGTTTTATTTCATGGGAGTAAAAGATGCAGCATTCACTTCTTCTGTCCGGCGCTTTATTTCCGAAGGGGCGCGCAGCGGCAGCCGCTCCGCAGCCGCGGATGTCTTTCGCTGCACTCCCGCGGCGCCGCTTTTGAGCGCGCTACGAATCAACGCCGTGCTTTTTCGTGCGGAAAAAAAAATATATAGAAAACCCCTTTTCCCTCTGGAGGTGCGCGGCACAGAGCGGAGGCCATCCCTCTGTCCCCCCGCGCACCCCAAGAGAGCGGTTGCAGTGGTGCGCTCGGGATTTGGCGGCCGCAGCGCCGCAGAGAGAGCTTTTATCGCCTTAAAGAAGAGGGAGGGGGAGAAAAAAAGGAAAGAAAAAAAAAAAAAAAAGAAGAAGAAGCAAAGCCCGTCCGCCAAACAACCCGCTCCCGTGCGGCAGTCGCCCCCGCGCTCACCTTCTCCGCGGAGCGGCAGCTCCTTCGCGCAGCGCTGCGTCGCTATTTCCGAAGCCCCGCGCGGACGGTACGGAAACAAAGAGCGGGCGCAGCGCGGCGCGGGGTGAGAGGTGAGCCCCCGCTTCCTGCCGCGCCGCGCCGCGCCGCGCGCTCCGAGGGAAAGGTCGTGCTCTCGCGTGTTTTGTTTTAAATACGGGTGACCCATTAATTCTAAACCTGCTTGTTCCTGAAATTATACGGGATTATAGCTCGCGAGCTCCGGACAATGAGGCAAATCAAGATGAATTGCCGCTCGGCCCTCCCGGCGGTTCCCACCCGGGCTGCCGGGAGGCTCGGCGGAGGGAGCGGAGGGCCCCCCAGAGAACGGAGCGCGCTCGGCGGCGGGGGGACTCGCGGCGGCAGGGCCGAGACCCCCGGGCGGGCGCCCCCCGGAGCGGGACCGTCGGGGAGCAGGGGGGCGGGGAGTGGGCACCTCACGGCGGGCCGGGGGGAATGAGCGGCGGGACACGGGAGAGGGAGAGAGGGACCGAGGCCTGAGGAGAGGTCGGCCCACGGGATAAGCTCCCCCTGCCCGATATCGGGATCCCCCCGCTCTGCGGCGGGCAGCCTCCTCTCTTTTCGTTTTTCCTTCTATTATTGTTTATTTCTTTCTATTTCTTCACACTCCCCCCCTACCCCCCCGACACTCTCGGGTCGAGGGAAGGCGGCGGCCCCCCCGTGCCCTGCCGTGCTGCCCGCCCGGCCCAGCGCCGCTGCCGTCGGTTTTCCTGCGCCGTGTCAACGCTTCGGCCGGGTGAGTGCCAGCGGCGCGCCACGGGGCCCCCACCCCACTCCTCCCCCCGCTCCGCTCCGCGGGGCCGGGGGCGACCCAAGGAGTCCCCCTCGGGGACAGCGCGGTGACGGCGGGAGCCTCTTTCGCCTCTCGGTTCTTCTCGGCGCGCGGTTATTTATACCGCTCTCCTCCCTGTAGAATGTCTGCATGTGTGTTTAGAGGACGTGTGTGCGCGGAGAAAGAATATACGTATCTAATATATGTATATATACGTTGAGGGTAATATATGGACCGTTTCCGGAGCACAGAAATATTGGATCAGAGTTTTCCACTCTACTGTGTAATGGCTCAAACGATGAAAAATCAACGTGACCGCTCGGAGCGGACATAAATCACTCCGAGTGTGATCTGAATTTCTTTCTCCCCCTAGCTGAAGCCTGGAGGGTCATCATTTTTCTGCGCCACTTGACCAAAGATATAATGTTTTGATTAGGTCGTAAATCAAAATCTTGGGCTGCGCTTTTCTTCCTTTTTTTCTTCTTCTTTTTTTTTTTTTTTTTTTCGGGGGCTTTCCTTCTTATCAGCGGTGGCAGCGCGAACCTGGAACAATGGAGGCCGTGCAGAGGAGAGGGGGGCGAAAAAGAACCACAACGAAACAGGGAATTTGCAGCAGACCTCTGGCGGGCGGCAGCCGCGGGGGGGTGAACCGCGGGGCACCCCCCCCCCCCCCCCCCCCCCCCCCCCCCCCCCCCCCCGCCCTCGGTACAGCCGCTCCCGGCTCCTGCTGTGCGGCCCCCGCGCCGAGCGTGCGAGCGGGCAGCGCCGTCTGCACCCAATCCACATCCCAATCCACAGCGCCGGCGGCCCGCGCAAACCCCGCGTAATCCCAGCGCTGACCCCGCCGAGCCGCATAGCCCCTTCGCTGCCGGGGCAACGCGGTGCCACCGCGCTCTTTTGTTTTCGGACGCCTCCTCCGCGTACTTTGAACGCCGGCGGCGTGCGCATGGCCCGTGCCGAGCCGGGCCGCAACGAGATGCGCGGCGAGGCGGCTCGTCTGGGTCAGCGCGGGGCTCCGCGCTGTGCCATCGCCCCTCTCTTATCTTCCCGCGTTGTTTTTGCTCGCACGCACTCACCCGGCCCCTTATTTTCCCGAACGCGCAGGTCTCCCATACCTGCTCGTTTCTATACCTCCGAAATTAAAGAACCTTTTCACTCCCCTGCGAGACCTATCGGCATTTTGGGAAGGAAGGAACTTCTTTGGGAAAACAGCTGATATTCGAGCCCGGCCGAGTTTTCTGGAAGACACTCTGCAGCGCTGCGAGCCGGGCAGGGGCGCAGCCCACTCCCCCCAGCGCCGCACTCCGCGCAGCGGGCGCGCAAGATGTGCTGGTGAGGAGATGGTGGGGGCCACCCTGGGGCTCGGTGCAGCTAGGATATAGGTTTCCCCCTGCGGGTACCCGCGTTGTAGTGGTGTCGGCGTGGGCAGAATGCGCCCCGAGGACCGAATGGTCTTTAACCCTGAACTGCAATGGGTTTGCACCTCCGGACCGTGGTGCAGCGCCCGGTTAATGGATCGCTGCATCTTGGGTTTGTAAATGTAACCCACTGCGGGATTAATTGCCGCAGACACTCGTGTCTTCTCCTCGGGAGAGATAAAAAAAAAAGAAGGGAAAAGAAAAAGAACC